GCCTCCTTTTCTTTCTGGCCTCTACCCTTGCCCCCAGCCTCCAACCCCTCTGTGGCCTCCCACTTCTTTCCTGCCTCTACTCTCGCCCCCGGCCTCCCACCCCTCTGCGGCCTCCACCCCTTGCCAACCCCAACAGAGCCCCCAGGAGAGCTCTAGGGTGCAGTGAAAGAAAAAAGAACACCAGGGGATGACAATGCAAACAGAGGACTCCTTGGGGCATACAGAAAGGAAAACAAGAGGACCCTGGAGCATGCCAAAAACCACCAGGAACAGTGGGATAGGAAAATGCCAAATGCAAAACTTGGTGGCGTGCTGCAAGATGTACACAGGGCCTGGGAGCGTGTAGAAAGGCTTCAGGGCACACCCAAACACAAAGAAAGGGCCTTGCTGTCCACCAAAGGGGCCATACCACGTGCTGTGAAGTTCAGGGTAGCTTACGGGCTGTCTGCAGGCAACCCCTCGCTCTGTAAAAACCCCATCTCCCAGCACTGCTTCCGCTGGTGCAGCCCTTCACCCCAGACATGCCCGGAGAATCTGGGGGTGCAGAGAGCAAACCCAGGAGTGGCCTGGGGACCTCTCATAGTCCTGGAGGGCCCCTGGCTGCCCACCAGATGATGAAAAATGCCACCAACAGCCCAGAGCATACATGGCAATGCAACAGAAATTCCCTGCAGCCCTGTGAACAGCACTGGGGGGGGCTCCGTATATCCCCAGGGATCCCAAAGAGGTGTGAGAGGCTTTCGGACCACCTGCTCAATACCCAACAAACAATGCATAACCTCCTCACTGGACACTGTCAAGGGCACTTCCAAGTGCAAAGGGAGTGCAGCATAGCCATAAATGCAAAGAATAAAGCTACAGTTTATTAATTAATGCAGATAGCTCCTAGGAGTGAGTCTGCCGTGGGGCTCACTGCCCACACGTTCCCCCGCCCCCTGTGACACCTAAATAGCAGCGTGCATCAGTCTGTTGAGAAACAGCCAGCTCCTCCTGCTGCTGCCCTTGATCTGGTAAGTCTCCCCTCCCTGCCTCCATTTGTTGCTTGCAGGATACAATTCAGCTCTGCTATTTGAGAGGAAAACCCCACAGCCCCAGCCGTTTTCCCAGAAAACACAGGCACACACCACCAATGGCACACCAAGCTTTCAGTCATCTCCAGACCATTCAGAAAGCAGCATCCAGCAAAACCAGAATAAAAACCACAGACACTTCACACACTGGGGGGACTCAGCTAAGGCACAACGGACTCTACCCAGCACGGCGACAGAAGCGCGGGCTCGCTCCACTCACCTGAGCTGCCTCTCAGACAACGCGAGCGGCCCAAGCCACAGACCCTGCTGGAAACCCCTGCTACGCGACAACGTGCCAGAACGCAGAGCTCCGTGCGGGCAGAGGAGGGGGCCACGCCGGCAGACCGTGCTGACGCGGAGGAGATGACAACAACAGCCGCTCCAGATGGGCCCGCAGTCCCCGCGCACCGCCCCCGCCGCTACCGCAGCCCTACCGCTACGGGCGCGCGCACCGCG